GCGTCATGAGGGAGAGGTAGGCCGCGTCGAGCTCCTCGCGCCCGTCGTTGCCCGGCTGCGCGAGCCAGTTCTCGAGGGCGCTGTCGAGGACGGATTGGAAGTTTTCGGACTTGTCGCGGTTGTGGGCTTTGTTTGCCAGCAGGGTGGCGAAGCGGGCGTTGATTTGGTGCTTGATGTGGTTGTCGAGGATGCGCCCCCCGTTCCAGGTGCGGAAGAGGAGGAAGGGATCGATGGGGGCTAAGAGGTTTTCGGGCTTGTGGGAGGTGAATTTGAGGCGGAGCTGGCCCTTCATTGCCTCAGCAAGGGGGTGTTGCCGTTTCTGGGTTTCGAGGCGGACGTTGAGGAGGACTTCGCCGATGACGTCGGTGATGAGGTCGAGCATTAGGGGTTCCAGCCTGAACATGTCTCTCTCACCACCACCGCCGCCCCCGGAGGAGACCCTGGCGCGCAGCCGGTCGGTGAAAGTGGCAATGTTGCCGAGGATGATGGGCACGGCGGCGGTGATGTTCTGGTTGCTGAAGCTGGGATTGAAGAGGGCGTGTAGGTTCTTCCACGGCCGGCCGTTTGTGTCGAACTGGCTCGGCCCGCCGGTGATGGGATGGAACCAGCCGACGAGCATGGGGGGCTTCTGGGAGCCGGCGACCGGGTGGTAGACTGTCTGGTGGGCCATGTCCGGGTCTAGGACGACGAGCATCGGGTCGGCCATGGGCCAGGTGTCGATGTAGTAGGCGCCATTTTTGCCGTGGAGCTCGCCCAGGCGGGCGAGGGCGTAGTTGGCGTGGACGCCCGGCGGGAGGGTGTCGAATGCTTTCTTGGCTTCGAGGAGGTTGCCGAAGAGGAAGCTATGGGGAACGATTGGCTGTATTTCGTGGTTAGTCTGATGTGGATCTCATGATAGTATCTCATTACGTGACGGAGCGCGATGAGAAGGACGGAGGAGAACTTACCAGGCCCTGCTTCCTCAGCTCGGCCATCTTGCCCCGGTGCTTCCTCAGAAGCTTAATGAAGTATAACACCGACCCCACGGCGGCGACCAGGACCGCCGCCGCGAGAGATCTCAGGATGTAAGCCAAGACCCCGTCCATGTTGTGCAACTTGAACTCGATGTTGAATATGCAAGATATGTCACCAGCCGATAATTGTCTCGGGAGTGTCAGCCACGCCAGGTCCCACTTGGCGCCAGCTGCGAGGGGTTGCAAAGTTGTCCAAGCAATCTAAAAACGCCTCCCACCGTCGACACCGTCGTCGCGTGGCACAAAGTGCAATTTTACCAACGGTTTCGGCGTGCGACGGTGCGCGGCTGAATTGACGTTTAAACTTTTGTTGCAAGAAAGTTGTCCTGAGTATTTAAGCAGAGATAATTTGAGATGCAGTGAAAGAACGAACGGCGCCATCAGCGAATGAGGTCGACTCCGATTTAGGCTCCCGGGTAAGCATTGACTCCGTATCCGACTCTCCGTACGGAAACCTACGTTCATCTCACCTGATTCGTGATAAGCTAGATCGCTTTAAGGTTCGCTAGAGCCTTACGGACCATTCCGTAGGATACGGATAGCTCAGGAGGATTCAGGGGCCCCAGTTGAGGATTGGAGACCCTGGTGCCCCGATGGGGTTGTCAGCAAATCATCCTGGGAAATTAAGCCACCTTCCACAATAATCGCAAATTCGCAATACACGAGTAGGCTCGCGATAGACGAGATTGCGTCAAATTCACCGTCTCGTCAAAGTTCAATGTAATCAAAAATTCAAGTTGGGGTATCTAATAATGCCTCTAAAGTGATGAGTGTCAGAACGCAAATCCCAATTTCTTGTTTGAAGAGAATCCCACGGTACGCCAGTATTGTTCTGTGGTGCCTTTTTTCTTTCCCTTCCTAATCCCGTAATCCTCAATTTCCCAAAACTCCCGTTGTCAAATCTCAATGCTGAGAAGCGCTGGGCGGTAGATGTGCCCAAGTTTTCTCCCTTTCAGACAACAAATTAAACAACGCTGCAGAATGCTGCCTTTTGAGTCTGCTCGGGATTGACCCTGGTGCTGAATGATGGATCGAGCAGCTTTTCCTCCTCGGGCTTGTTGGTGTACATAAGTATACATGTCGCGATCCGATGCAGCCTCGGCGACAAGGGCATGCGGGAGGATTCCCATCGGCCCATGGCGCAGAACGAGGCTTGACTATCCTTCGGACTAAGCAGCTGATGTTGAGAATGCACAACTGAAAGCTGTGTGCTTCTGCAGTCTCGTGCTGACCATGGCCAAGTTGCGCCGACAGATGGTTATCAAATAAGGTAGCTCAATAAGCGACTGTGTCTACCTCGGCACACCGCCGGCAAGGCCAACAGCAACGGACGAAGTCAAGAATTCCAAATCGTCGTAGGCTTGACGCTTGCAGCCCCGTGGCGGCTTTCCCTTGACGAACCCATGGCTGTAAGCATCGCCGACGACGCTGAGGTCCGTCGTCGAGTCTTCCGGCTGATCAAGTCTGCGTACGACGACCAAGGACGACGCGCGGGACATCATCCAGATCTCGTCGCCGGGCCTCGTTTGGTTGGGGACCAGCACTAGAGCGCCGTGATCCTGGGTCAAGGCTATGCGCCGGCTGCGGTCCTTGACAAAGGTCTCGAGGAACGGAATGATAGGTTGTGTGCTTGCCGCGAGGGGGCCTCGGCCTGACGCGGCGTCGGAGAGCAGATTTCTGTCGTCGAGGGCCCAGAATTGGCGGAATGAGTCAGGGTCTTCGCCAGCGCCCACGGCCTGCTCAAAGTCACCGAGACCAGTCAGGCCATTGAGAACTGGGCTCAGGAACCTGCTAAACGACTTGACAATCTCGTCTCTGGTGAATCCTTCGGGATGTCGGTCCGTCGTTATTTTGCTGAGGTTGTCGCCTGACAGTGTCCGTAAGAGGGTATTCATGTGATGTTCCTCATCAGCGTTTGGTGAGCGCATCTTGTAAACGAGGGTCAGGAGCTTGACTAGCGGCAGAAGCTCCTTCATGTGAAACAGCTCTTCGGATATCTCGACAACAGTGTCAACGTAGGTGCCTCCGAGCTGGACCTGCTCCGAGAGAAGATTGCTGGCAGGCATCGTCTTGTCGAGTGAGAGATTCATCGTCGTGAGCGTGTACGTGTGCGTGAGGGTGGGCGTGAATAGGAGATGGGATGGATGGTTGGATGGATGGGTGAAGTGTGTCGATGAAGAGTGACGGGAACGAGAACGGGCACGAAGACTTGGCGTGGCAGGAAGGGGGCATATATCAAGAAACGAAGGGCCCAGACTGTCGTCACTGTCCACAACGGCGGGTCATAGTGGCCTTATCTAGGCGAGCTATGAGTTTCCGAGCTGCCGGGAGTCTGGCAGCAAGGGTTTGTTGGTATGGATACATGGGAGAGGACAAGGGGACGAAGTGCTCTGTACTCCGTACCGGTGGGTAGAGTACCGGTATTGTGTAATTAGACGAGAGAGACTTGAGAGGGCGCTTGCGCCTGGTTCTTCCTATCCGGGGAGCGAGTCCGGGGAGACTAAGTTGGCGTGGTTGCGTAAACCGGCGGGGCGCACTGGATGGGAAGGGCAGGATGTGCGGGTTGGAGTGGACTTGGTGCCGGTACTGACGGGGCCAAGAGGGCCACGATGTCATGCGTTATGGAGACTGGTGAAAGCTTGAATGTCGTTGGAGCTGTAGCTAGGTGAGCTGTCCGCCCTGCTAGCTACGGATACTTGTGTATGTGTGTGTGTGTGTGTGTGTGTGTGGAATGGTGTCCATTAGTCGTGCAGAAATGTCAGAATGGAAAGCCTGGTGTCAAGGTTCGCATCAACAGCTTGGCACTGGGGTAGTCTGCATCTCGGTAACCGCATTGTGACTGGTCTACTGCGAGGTACAAATAGATGAATGAGTGCAGATGTAACTGCGTGTGCAGTGAATCCGGAAAGTAAGGTAAGCAAGGATGAGATGAGAATGAGATATCTGTGCAACGGTACATCCAAGCCGTACGAGTTGCAGACAAAGTGGACAAGGCAGACTCGGGCTGACGGGGCGACAAAAAGATGAACAGAAGTTTGAGCCTTGAGGTATCCGTAAGGTGGTCAGGTATCAGGTAAACGGAAAGCAAGGCGCAGATGTACGCAGTAAGGGGGAGAGACGGAAAAAGTCTGGCAGAGATGACGTCGAGACGGGGTGCCGGTTTTGACGGGTCCCCGTTGCGTTAGCGCTGCTCCTCTGTTACCAACTCGTGTACGTACCTGTGAAGTTAGGGGCAGTAACCGGGCACACGGACATTTTTGGTGCTTTCCTTGCTTGCCTGCCCTTGCCTCTGCCCTTGCCTTCCCCTGGGCTCTGCCCTGGGTCCTGCCTGCCTCATGTCGGGTCGCTTCAGGGTCCGCTCATCCAATGTCCAACGTTGGAACCGGGAACTTGTTCACGGACGCATCAATTTGATCGAGCACATGAAGCACAGTCCTTCCAGTCCGTCCGTCAATTTCGAGCCGTTTCTTCATTTCTTCATCTCGCCTGAGACGCAATATCTAATGAGAAACACATGTCTATGAGATTGATACTGTTTACAGCAACTAACAACAACCCCAACGAGTCAGTAGAGGCATGTGAGATATGCCGCCTCGGAATGCAAGCCAAGCTCCTGGGCAGCAAAGGCGCATAAGAAGAAGCTGACGACTGACTTGCTACTCAAATGCTCAGAGTTCAACGCTGATGTCAACCTGTCTCGCGTGTTCCGGCGACGCGGCACCAAGGAGAAGGGTACCTAGGTATCCGTGTGTGCGTGTGTGTAATCCGTACGGATACCATTGGGCACACTTCGTCGGCCACGGTGATCTGCCAACCCCGCGTTGATCACTCCCGCGTCTCTCCCTGTCAGCCAACTTCAGACGATTCAGATCCTTCAACGCCAACTGTGTCGTCTCATCTCGTCCAACTCGTAACATCATCTTTGCTCTTCGCCTCATTTAGCTTATCTCTATTGCCGCCGGTAATACATTCGCAAGAGTCACCAATATGACCAAAGCCCTCATCATCATGGCCGACTACGGCCATGATCCCACAGGTGGGTGACCTTCATCATCCTTCCGCTCGCCCACCCATCCTATCCCGCCCATCCCCTCAACGCCAAGTCCCCGACATCGTCCCGGTCCTTGTCAGACTCCATCTCCGTCCCCCTAATTATCTGGCCCCGCACCAGCTCCAATCGTCCAAACATGGCAAAACCCTTACTCAACGGGATCTGCGTTACGAACCGCAAAGCTAATCTCTCTCATGTTGCTTCGCAGAGGTTGCTGTCCCCTACCAGGCCTTCAAAGATGCAGGATTCGACGTAAACTTTGCAACCGAAACGGGCTCAACACCCCGCTGCGATGCCCGCATGCTCGAGGGCCTCTCACAGAAGCTTCTTGTACGATGACTCAATTTCTCAGCATGTTGCAAACGTCATTATTCTCCAACATCAACACAATTGCACCACGAGCGCTTGCAAATCCCCCCCCTTGACCAACATCCCGCCTTCCCCCCAACCCGCCGACACATGGCAAGCAATCTGGTGATGGAATAGAGTTGACCTGCTACTCCTCCAACAGGGCGCCGCGGCCTCCACGATAAAGCTCTACGATGCAATGGTCCTATCTGCCGAAATGCAGAACCCCCTGTCCTGGACTTCACCGAGCTTCACGCTCGATGACTTCGATATTGTGCATATTCCTGGCGGTCACGACAAGGAAGTAAAGCAGCTCATGGACTCAACCACCGCGCAGAAGCTGCTGGCCGATTACTTTCCTCAGACCAAGAAGCCGGGCAAAAAGATTGTCTCGGCTATCTGCCACGGCCCGCTGGTGCTCTGCAACACCATGGGACAGGACGGCAACAGTGTTCTGTATCACTGCACGACGACAGCCCTCCCCGGATGCTTCGAGTCGCTGGCGTATCATGGAACCAGGCTATTTCTGGGCGACTACTACAAGACATACGGTGCGGGCACGGAGAATGTCGAGGATTCGGTAAGCATACGACTATCAAGGGGCACGACTCGTTCAAGTGCTTATTGTGTCAGATGCGCAAAGCGGTGAAAGATCCCAGTCAGTTCAAGAGCAGCTGGATGCCCAACCGACCGTTCGTGTCTCCCCCATCCACGGACGCAACAACGATTGCTAAACATCCAGTACAGCTTCGTTGTGGAAGACACAGAGTACAACTACATCAGCGCGCGCTTTCCGCCCGATGCGGCAAAACTAGCCGAAATGACTGTCAACCTTGCCCATCTCATCCACGTTCAAGGCTTTAAGGGTCAAAACCCGACTACGGCATAACATGCCGAACAGGCACTAAACTTTTAAGCTTGTCGTCTACGTGGCATCATCTTCGCATCAGTCGTCATCATTAGCGCTAGAAACGCGCATTGCAGTTGCAGCCGGAGGCCAGGAGGCCGGAAGTTGAGACTCGTTCCGCTGTTTCGTTTGTGAATCGGCTTGCGTACTATAGGGGTCTTGATGCGATGGGCCCATTGAGCACGAATTCCCAGTCTGAATGACATCAATGTCGTCATGGTGATCTATTCCAGTGTTTAAAAGTTTGGGAATGAGGACTAGCACTGTGCTCCGGCTTGAAATAAGCTCAGAGATTGTTGCCAACGTGATGTGGTGGATACTTGGGGTCCAGCATGATGCTTGAAGTGAATATTTTTTTCTACCTTGCAAAGCGACACCGAGGCGGCCAGTAAAATCTTGCCAGATTTGCAATCTTGAGCGGCTGTATTCTTCGACGCTAGTTTGCGCGTTCCGCAATTCTCTGTAGAGCTTCATCAACCCCTCGAGAAACAATCGTTGGCTCGGTGTCAATGACGCTCCCCAGTGCGTCAATCCACCCCGTCCCGGCCCGGTCGATCCACGCAGACTGCCACCCGACCGCTCTCGCTCCAAGTGCATCAAACGGATTTGAACTGACCAGCCAAATGTCGCTCTCTCTACCAGTCATACCCACCTTCTCCGCAAAGTGCCGGTACGTCGCTGGAGCGGGCTTGAAGCAGCGTGCCCCTTCCACCGTCACCAACTTCTCAGAGCCAAAGATACGGCTTTTGCGTTGCTTGATTTCGGGGCAGGTCCTGATGGATGCGTCGACCATGTCATCCGTTCCGTTGGAAAACACATACGCGTCGATGGATTTGTCTCCTTCGACGATTCGCATTGCCGGCTCGATGTCCGGGAAGGCTTGGAGACCGTTGTAGGCTTCCATCAGGCGGTCTTCGTCCTCTTTTGAGAGAGACGGCTTCTTTATTTCCGCGATGGCGTGCTTCAGCGCTGCGCGTGTGATTTCGGAGAACGGACGGTATGTGCCTAGATGTGTCTCATCGTCTCAGTCAAGTTGGCTACTACCTTATTTGTCTTGCGAGACTCCAGACTGCAGTACGAACCCATGCTATTGATACGCCATGTGTACTCGAGTTGATATCGCCGCCACTGGGCCGCGAGAGTCTTAGCTTCTTCTTCGTCGCCGTAGAGCTCTGCGAGTTGCTTTGCGATGGATCCCGTCGACAGGAGAGTGCCGTATAGGTCGAAGGCGATGATCGTCTTGGGCTTGTCCTGCGCCATGTTGCTCGGTCGCCCAAGCTCACCAGTGTCAAAGTCGAGAATCCTTTACTGGTTATCGCCAGGTTAATCTTCAGTCAAGGGCTCACAAATTAGAAATAGGTATACGACGGTCAGATGGAAGGAATGTCGTCCGAACGCCTCTCAGTCGGCTTCCGTCACCACAAACGCGGGGGAGGGGGATGCGCACTTATACCCGGCCGCCCCCGCTCCCCACGGGCCCGCGCTAAAGTGCCCTAAAATCGCCCTCCGTCCGTACGGATCGTGAGGTGGCTCCGAAAAGCAACGTCGATTCAACGTCATCGATTCACGTCTTCTCACCTCTCATCTCACTCACGCTTCTCATGAGAGAAATCTCACCTCACACGATCAAAACTCACCACCATAAATGAAATAATGAGAAATTTGGATGAAGATTCACTCCAATTTGAAACGTTGCGAGACTGCCTCTCAGCCGCCGTCGTAGAGCGCGTGACAAAACCAGCACCGAAATCAAAACGCCGCTCTAAGAAGGCGAACCCTCGCCGGCAACCCAAATCTCATAGTGATGATGGCCCCTCGGCCACCACCAGCGGCGCCGCCAGTAACGGCGATGAAAACACTCAGGTGGACGCGGACGACATGATCGACTTCACATCCTACCTCGCCTCAGAAGCCTTTGACTCTTTTCCCCCGGACCTTAAATCCCTATCTCACGCAACCCACACAGCCGACCCGTCCCTCCTACAATCCCGCTTCCCCCTCCCCCTCACCGGCGCCGACGTGGCAGATCTCTTACCCACTCTATCCCCAGACGTCGCGGACTCGCTGGCAGCCTACCACATCGTCGACCCGGCGAAGCAAGGCGCCCACGAGTTCCTGGCGCCCGTGTTGACAGAGTACATCTCCGCCCTCGTCGCGCCACCGCCTCCGCCGCGGTCAACGCGGGATTCCGTGGAGGGTTGCGAGTTATGCGGGCGAGACTGGATCGGGTTGACGTACCATCATCTCATTCCGCGCATGGTGCACGATAAAGTTGTCAAGCGCGGGTGGCACCGCGAGGAAGAGCTGAATAACGTCGCGTGGCTGTGTCGGCTGTGTCATTCTTTTCTGCATCGGTTCGCGGGGCATGAGGAGCTTGCGAGGCAGTATTATACTGTTGAGTTGTTGCTTGAGCAGGAGGAGGTTGTGAGGTTTGCGCAGTATGCGAGTCGGGTGAGGTGGAAGGGGAAGTGAGGGCATCATCAAAAGTGCATGTTTGAAGTTTTGGACTGGGAAGCGAAGGGGTTTGAGATTTTGCCATTATCCTGCTCCCTACCGCTATCCAGAAATATTTTGGGGCATTCTCATCCGTCCAATTATCACTCGCCGACACAACGTCCTTCAGTCGTTCCTCGAAGGACATCCCAAGCAGCATCAATCAAGCTCACACCATCCCGCTACCTCTATCTTCAACCGCCTCCCGCCGTTCCTCAAAGATATTTCTAGGCAGGTTCAAATTACCACACGCCAAAGGCGCATACTTGAGACAAATCCTCCTCCGCTGCCGTTCACAGCAGTAATTCCACACGCACGCCTCGCCCGCGTTACAGCTAGTGGAGGAGGTACACGTCCTAGCCTCGTCACATCCCTTATTCTCCACGCATACCTGCCTCCGACCCGGTTCGTCCGAGTTCCTATCGACCTCGCGAAGACAGGTACAGAGCGTTCCACCGCCGCCAGGGCACTGGTAGAAATTCACGCCGTCAAAGGGACAGTCTCGGGCGCCGCGGCAGCCCGGGTTGGCGTATTGGGTTGCCGTGACGATGGCGACTGGCGCGGGGAGGGTTTTTATGGACGGGATGTAGCCCCAGCAGCTGCAGGCTGAGGAATAGGCGCCGGTGCTGGTGCAGGAGACGGCTGCGTAGGAGGGGACTGAGGTGGGGGATTGCGTGATGGCGGCGCGGGTTGTTGATTGAGAGAAGGTTGTGGTGGGGTTTGTGGGGATGTTGTCGGTGTAGATTGTGGTTGTGACGGTTGAAGTGCTAGTAAATGGTCATGTTAGAGCTTGCGTCCTTGTATATGACTCGGGCTTCTTCTAGTTTGTGGCACTTACAACGTGTCCGGGATGACGGCGGTCTGCATGTAAGAGGAGCAGTCTAACCCGCGGTTTGTGACGTCCGGCACGCCGGCAGCCCGGAACGTACCGGTCACTCTGCGAGCGCAGTTATCGGCGTTGCATCTTTGGGCAACGGCAAGGGGGATGAGGCCTAGGATGGCGACTATGATAGACTTCATATTAACAACGTTGTTGTATGTCTTAAGTTTTTGATGATTAACTGGGGATTGAGAGCGATATGGAAACGACTTGTAGGAGACGACCAGCCGCTTTTTATCTATCGTAGGATCCTAAACACAGGATAGGACGAGGGCTCTCGCTAGTTCTGATTTCAGCCAGTCTGAGCAATCTTGGATAAATGTGGCACGATCAACATGAGCAGATGCCAACGAATAAGACCCGGCAATACCGGCTGAACATGAAGCTGTCATGGGTTTCTAGCTCAGTAACACCGTTGGCACTCGCGAAGGCAAATTGGGGGGTCACGAGAGATGTCTTACTAGATTGAGTCAATCAAAAAGGTAACCATGTCAAGTCTCGTATTGAGTTGTGGTCTCGATTTTCTATTACCCCAGAAAAGGGGCTGCTGCGCAACACACTGTATCCGATACCTGATTGGCTTACTATTGGACCTTGACAGAGGCAGACACTGTGGGAAGAGACAGCAGGGCCTATTGAGACTGTCTCGGAGCGGTGGTACCTGAGCAGACGCAGGACAAGCAGATCAGCTGAGCTCTTTAATGCGAGCTTCAGTCTGGGTCGAGAGCAACTTCAGCCGCGACTTGATCCAGCAATCATTTTCAGATAATCGTCGTATCCCACGCTCAAGATCTTGTCTCGAAGAAATACCAAAGATGTTGGTGCCATGAGACTAATCGCAAATGATTTCAAGTCGATGCCGCCGTTGGTCCAACGTCACTCCCATCACCCTCCGATAACCCGAGACTTCTCAGCAACGCATCCGGCCCGGGCTCCCGACCCAGAAACTCTTTCATCATCTCCATTTCGTCTCTGCTGCCGCCGTACTCGAGGATTCCTCTTCGATACAGGTCCCAGGCTTCAGGACTGCGGGGATCCTTGGCGAAGCACGACTCGAAGAGCGAGGCCGCGAATGCTTGGGCGCTTTACCGTGGTAAGTCAGCACTGTACTTGGAAGCTGTAGTGACGGGGCTTGAGTCATTGGTAGAGGGCCTCAGCTCCCATCGAACTCTGGATGAGATTGTAGAAATGATTCTATGCAGCAAACATACCTCATGTAGGCGTAGTAGCCCGCATCGTAGAGCTCGATAAGATGCGTGGAGTGAACTAGTCCGTACCCCCTCTTATCAGGATTCGGCCTGAGTGTCATGGAATCCTGAAGGTCGTTGTAAAGCTTCAATTCGTCCATCTCTCTCAGAGCCTCGGTCGACTCTTGATTGTTCACCATCATATCAAACGTGGCAAATACCCTGTTCCGTGTCAGTTATCCATCGTATCACCAAACCAATTACACAAGATAACAAAACCAAGGCAGAAAAAGACAGGAAACTTACAGCTGCCTAAGGAACCACAGACCCCGATTCAGCTCTCGACTCTTGACCAACCTGTCTGCCAACTCCTTTGGCATCGTTTCCGGCGGGGGCTCTTTGCCATCCGCATGATCCTCCCTCCACTTCGCCATGTACGCCGTATTGACGCGCGTGTAGTGCCGTCCCATCTTGACGAGCTCGTCTGGCATCCAGCACCACTTCTCCAGCATCGTGCTCGGCGCCTCGCCGAAGTCGGGTGCCACGCGCGATCCGTGGAAGCGGGTGTGCTTTGTGCGGGATACAAGATCGTGAAGTCCATGGCCCAGCTCTGCGTGGACGGTGTGAGCGATAGCCATTCCCATTGAACGGATGCAGAAAAGGGGGTATCATGAATCATGTTCGAGGATGATAATGTGAAAGGAGGGAGGACGAAGAAGGGGAATGATTCAGGCGTACCGTGGAACAAAGTAACGACCTCGCGATGCTTCAACAGCGCACAAGACGCGGCTGTAGGGGGCTGGAAGGCACACATGAGCACCGTGGCAGGGTAGACTCTACTGCCATCCTCCTTTAAGTAACCCTATTGACGAGTCAGTGATCCTTCTTGATGGGAACCCGAAGGGCAGGAGATCTCGGCAACGTACGCATTGCAGGTTAACATTGCACGCCGTTCGGTATTTTCCTTCTCGCCAGAGAACGTCAGCGTACAGATATCCCACAAATTCCCCCTTTCTCTCTCCTCTCCCTTCCCAGACGGCCCAAACTTGTACCTCCTTATCCCATATCTTCCCAACTAGATCTTGATCCGGTACAGTTTCGAATTCAAGACCCAGAAACTCGGAAAACAAACCCAACATGGCCGATAGGGTGTGATTTAGGGGGAAATACTCGGAAATCTTCTCCTGGTCAACGTCCGCCTCTTCCTCAAGGAGTCTTGTATAGTACTCAAAATCCCATGGCAGAATCCTCCCTTCCTCGCTATCCTTCTCCTCATGAACAATCCCCAAGTCGGTCCTCTTCCTCTCCGCAATCCTCGTCATTTCTTCCCTTCCCCGAGGCTCCAACCCTTTACTCAACCGTCCCAAGAACCCCTCAACCCACCCAGTCGACGGCGCAACCCTCCTCTCGATTCGGAACTCCGCGTGGCTCCCATATCCCAACATCCTCGCATTCTCGTCTCGTAGGACGAGCATCTCCTTGAACAGCGGCACGTTCTCAGGGAACCGGTTATCAAAGGCAACATACACACGCCTCCTTGTCTCCGGGTCACGCGCATGCCGCAGCACAGCGTCATAATCCGCCCTTTCCAGCGTAACTAACCTCTTGCTCCTTTCCTCCGGCACGTCTTCGTCCCGTCCGACTTTCCATCTCTCCATCTCTGCTCTCGGTACACCCTCCAGCTCCGCTTCCGTGAGCCAGAGGCCTCCGCCACCCTGGTACAGATTCTTCCTAAACGCCCTCTTCAACTCCTCAATAATCTCCCTCCGCTCCAAATACACCCGAATTCCCTCCTCATCCAAAACCCCATGCCCAGCCCCGCGATAATCCAGCCACAAATCCTTCACGATCTTCTTCTCCTCCTCCCCAAGCTCCTTCTCATCCCGCTCCCTGACGGCGTTAACAAGCTCATAGACCCCCTTCATCCGTAACCTCTCCGCCGTAGACGCGGACCAGAGCCTCATACCTTCCTCCACGGCCTCGGCGGTTGCCTTGTCCGGGCCAGAGAAGCGCAGCACGCTAAAGGAGCCCGTCTCGCCCTGCGTTTCATCGTCGGCGCGCAGGAAGGATGCGATGGTGTTGGCGAAGGTCGCCTCGGAGGGCGTGATGGTCGCGGCTGCGTTTTCGCGGGCGGCACGTTGGGTTGCGAGGACGCGCTGGACCGTGGGGACGATTTCGTCTGCGGCGAGGAAGCGGGCGAGGGGTTGTGGTGGTTGGCGGGGCATTGGCGCGGGTGGTTCTGGGATCGAGTTCTGCGTATTGCACAGATGAATGCTTTGTTCCGGACAGATTTAAATGGCTTTGGTTTATGGTTTAGCTATGTAGGCAACATGTTGTATACAAGTCCGTTATGTACAACCTCGAGTTGATTATCGACATCACCCAACACCACAATGGCTTACCGAATTCCCCTTCGAACAGGGAAACCGATCCATCACAAAACGACGCAGCTCACCACGTGCCGCTGCAACCTCATTCTTTCACCCCTGAACGACAAACCTCGTAATACCCAATCCGTCAAAAAAAGCCTCATCACAAGACACACATCGCCAGGCTCCACCTCGTCAACTACCTCACATCAAAAGCCAGTGATAGGTCGAACAGTCCCTCATCCCCTTTCCCACGCCGCAATCCCGCATCACACCGGTCGTTCTACTCCGTCCACTAGCGCCGGACCCCCGCCCGCCGAGACGGGCCCGCAACTTGTCCTCCCCTCGGCGACTCGGCACCGGGGGGCATCCCCCCAGACGCCGATGATTGGACCGCCGGGCTCGGCACGATCGGTCACGCGGATGCCACTGCGTTCGCGCCCGCTAGTCTGCAGGAGACGGGAGGGGGGCCGAACGACAAGATCCTGTTTTCAGGTCCCCTTTCTCCCCGTCCTTCATTATGCTTACCAACTTACCTACTTGCCTCCTCAGTCACAGATCATCAAACTTCACCATAAACACCAACTTCCGCCTCGAAACCTAGAAGCAAACGATCCACTTGCTGCAACCTATCTAGTCTCACAAAAGCGAACAAAAGAGACTTTTTCGCTCTCTGACCCAACCAGCAGCACGCCTTCTCCAGATCTGAAGCACTATCGTCGGCAAGCAGTTCATGCACGTCAAAAAGTCTCAGCCTTCCCGCCGACCCTATTCTCAGAAACCGGGAAAGAGAGGGTGGGTGGGGCGCAGTGAGTTGAGCTTGAACCGTTTCGCTGCCCTTGACACCCAAACTGGGTTCAATATCTCGGCAGTAGCACCGAAGAAGCCCGTCTGCGAGCTGTGCTCTGAGAGAAAGAGAGAGGCAAAAAAGATCATGAGATGGAGTTCTAACGCTAACGGCACCCGGCATGAATTTGTTCATCTCAGCTAGGAACGGCTTTCCTGTCAGAGATAAAGGTTGGTGGTCACTGCTTGGGCGAATGTGTTTGTTTCGCCCCCCCCCCTCCCTTTTTTTTTTTTTTTCTTTCCCCGGCTTCTTTCTGGAGCTAGCTGTTTAAACTAGCATTCAGGAATATTCGCTAGTAAGGTGAGAACTCACTAAAAATTGCCTGGTTGCGACTAGTTGAGAAGAGGCAAGTTATCAAGAGGATGTTGATTAGCTTCAGTATCGTCTCTCTTCCTGAAAATCGAGGGTCACTGGAAGCAGTTGACCAAATTGATTGGACCTACTATCACTCGCATCGCTGGTTTGACCTCTATGAGATGGAATTTCGCACCTGGAGTATCTTTCTATGAGAAACCTCATTACCGCCTTACATATCTCCGGCAACCGAAGTAACCATCCAAAATCTTCACGAACCCAGTTCAAACCTCCGACTTGATATCCGTGTCCAGCATCGTCCGCGGGAGCGAGAAAAACCAGTGTAGACTCATCCCGCCCTCTCTTTCAATCCCAATCTGAACACTGGCAGCCTCGGGAACTGTCCCCGAGGCAAAATGAAAAGGGCCATAGCAGACTTTCAGCCTCACAAGCATCGATGAAAATTTCTGTGCGAAAATGGAGCTTCCTCTCCTTTCCCATCTCCGGCAAGAAACCCAGAAACGGTAAGCAGCATGAACAAGTCTATGCTTCTCATGCTGTTCTCGTCTCCCCCACACCAGGTACCTTACCTTACCTTACCTCACCTTACCTGAGCTAGAATGCTATGTGACCGCAACGACCAGAGCTCCGGCGCCTCGCCGCTCGACCTTCCAGTTCCTGGCCCAGCTGAACCGTCCCGTCCGCCAGATCGCTCCCCCGGATCTTCCCCAAGATCCCCAAAAGCGGTAAAAACCGGTTTGCCCCTCCCTCGCCAGCCAGTCATGCAAAACACAGTCCTCATGTCAACAGACGCTGTAGTATAAATCATCTCAACCTTCCAGCATTGGCGCCAAGAATAAGCCAAGACAAGTGAAGACTGCCTTAGGCTTTGGTCTGTTCTCTGAATGCGCCTTGGAAATGCTGCACATGGGTAGGAATGTGATTGGGAAACAACCTGCTGGCTGGCGTGCTATGGTATTGGGTGGCCGCCTTGGTGATGCCCGTGCCTCTCAGCCTCGCCTCCTCAAATTGTAGATTGACAGAGTCGTGGTATGAGGAGAGACACATGACTCCCCTCAATTCGCTAATCTTAGCCAAGTTCATATAAACTCTCTTCTCCCCCTCGCCTCCGTCTTTGGACCCCCAAAGGCCAATTTTCAGACTTCTGAAGTGGCAGAAAGGCAAGTTTAAAAAAAGAAGAAAGACAAAACTGCGGTCTGAACTCCAGACACAATACCCAAAGCCTATTCCCCAAGCCGTGAAAGCAGGGAGAGGAACTCCAAAAAGAAACCTCCCGCCGCTACCATGACGAGATAGAGTACGGCCTGACTTTGATAGCACAGACGACACCAATGAGAGTAATCATGCATTGCGTCCACTTCTCGGCACTACTCCCTAATGGTGTTCTTCATGGGCGATTTTGCCTTTCACCGCACCGGCCAGTGACCGGCAGGGGTTCAGCCAACGTCGAGCACCATTCTGAAGCCAGGCCATGTTGCCGACTCGGTTGCTCCCGTTCGGGGAGTATACACTCGAAACACTCTTATCCCATGTGCAGCGACTGCCGCTGGCCGTCAACATGGTAGTTCCATGTTGGCTCCTTGGTGCCAAGACCCATGAGACTCCCGTTCTCTGCCATCTGGAAACTTTGTTTCGACTCGACAGAAAGCCTCAATCACAGCAAGTGTGCGTCCAGTGGACACAGAAGGATATAGTCGTAACTGATAGACCAAATGGCTAATAAACGTGTAAGAGACTGAGGATCAGGTAGGGAACCGACTGACGAATCCGGCTTGGCTTCCGCCCGGCACTGCCGTTCTCGGGGGAATCCCGCCCTCCGATTAACGCCGAACGCCGGGGCGGCTCAAAGAGATGATCACCTAGAGCTCAATTAACGGGGTGATGGGAAATAAGGTGTCCGCAGAACTTCGGACGAATCCCAATTGGCCGTGTTTGAGCGGTCGAACCACCTCCGACAACCAGGGCGATCCCATTTCAGAGGGAACCACCGTTCTCTGCCTTGTAGACGGGGGCTCCTCTTGAAGCAAGCTCATGCCAGTCTCACCATCCACACCACTGAACCCAATAGTTGGGAGGGTTGTCACAGTTTCATGCGCATAGAAACCAATCAGACTTGCCTGGGTGAGCAATCCTCGTCTGTGTCCCGGCCACAAGGGCCACGTCGCGGTTCTGGCATTCATGCTATCTTCGACATAGTGGAATATTGGGTGCCAGTGAACTCGGCAGAAGGCCAGTAATCTAGATGAGCAGGTCAGAATTCATATCACATACTCATGTGGTTGGCTCCTCGAGCACCCGTAAAGGGCACGTGCGAGACGCATGGATGATGTGAGACAGCAGCAGACAACTGCTTACAGCGAATACAGGCTGCAGCGCGTGGGTGATACAAGCAAGCAAGGGAGGCGAGGATTCGCTGCTAGACCGAGATGGTGACTCGTGAAGCTGTAAGCTTATTTTCGAATCTCACCGACTCCTCCAGGTCTTGAACGACTTCATGAGTCTCTATAATCAACGGAGCCAATCAGTGCAGTCATAACGGCTGCGGTATCACGGAGTGCTGGCGGGTCTTGGCACCCGGATCGCTCGGAGGTCGTGCGCACCGGCGGTTGCGCCTGTCTCCCTTTCTCAGTTTGTCAACTCACTCTCCCACTTTTGTTGACCCAAGAGTGAGACAGGGCTTGCCCAGACGCCGGAGTTGAGTTGAGCTCCATTATTCTTTTGGGCGGGTCCGAGTAACCCCATTGGAAAATACGGAAGAATTGCTTGGGAGCTCATTTCGGGGAGCGTCGTCAACGAGTCCCGCTCAAAGATTCCGAGGTGGAAATGGGGCGGGAGGAGTGGGAAACGTCCGCCGATGGCCGGGCCACCGTCGTTCCATCAAATTTTGATTTTGCAGGCTCACAATCTCGATTGTCGCCAGGGCTCCAGAAATCCATGTGAATTCTCTTGCTCGCCGGATAGGTTTTCTTGCGCTCGTTAGAGGAGTTGTTGGTACCTTGGCTCACATCAGCGGGGCCTAACCCAACGCACGCGCACGCGACGCACGACACGGGAGTGGTTGAGAGAGACAGAAGCTGCTGCAAACACTTCCGCCGAGCTCGCCCCCTTGTCGGTACTATCGACCTGTGGTTTGTGGGTTACGCGAGTACGCGGGAACGTGACTGGCTGCCGTGTTCGGTATTGTACGGAGTAAGTAGCACAGACAATATCAAACTGCCAAGACCGCCAAGTGCGCTGGAGCCTCTTAATGACGATGAATGCTGCCGGTGGTGCCCTACACTTCAGTGCTCCCCCCTCCTCAGCTGGACTGACACAGACGATGCGCTGTAGCGCTTCAGCGATGAGACGAGGTGATACGGTGACGGGTAGGACCTGCAGGCCATGGGACTTCAAATCGTAGCGGAAGTATAAACCTGCCCTGATTTATTAGCAGGTTCTGTAAAATGCTGTGAAGGGATTGATGTTGAATCAAACAAACTGACGACGTTGAGTCTTGAGAAGCCGCCTGCAGATTTTTGAAGCGGCTGCAGAACCCAAGGCACCTAGGCACTAGTCGCCGGCCTGGCGCAAGAGCTTGCAGTCATTGACTTCATTCGTGGTCGGCGACCACGGACATCGAGGTGGTTTCGAGTACAGGCACTTGTACTGAACGCCGGTGCAAAGACAAGGTTCTGATTAGTGTTGTGTCCGATGGATATGTGATGGTCGTCACAATTTTTTTTTCTACTAGTTAGTCGCCGTTCAGATGTATGGGTGGTTCATGATGCCGACTTGGTGAGGTCTCGGTGCTGGCGCCGTGTGAATGGCTACTGAGAGTCGACTATGGCGCACGCGGTGAAAGTGTCAAAAGACGATCCCTGGCTTTTGTGGCTTGCAATACACAGTAAGCCGTCACCCATGCCAAGACAGGGCGCCTGGTCTGGTGGGTTTTGGTGGATGACATCCATGTGGCGGACAGACAGACGTCGGGCTCGGGATCGTCCAAGTCCGCGAAGTTCGCGGTCTGGCCTCTGCTGCACGCAGATCAATCATCAACGACAGCGCGATAGCAACAGCAGCCGCCAGCGTATGCACTCGTCCGTCGGTCGTCTGACTTGCTGTGTAAGCAAGCCGGTTAGCTTGAGCAAAGTCGGATGAATTGCACGTCGCACGCACCACCGAGATTGTCACCATCACAACCATATCCCACATGCTTATCTTGCATTCTCCGCAATAAGTCGAGGCTAGCCACCCAAGCTTTGCATCTTGCAGCATACAACGGGTAGCGACTGGTGGCATCGCTCTTTCAGCGTCTCCCGTGTATGGGCAGGGGATCGAATCGATTGGCAGAGTGCTAAGTGGTCCGCATGCACAGCTGGCTGCACAGATTGGAAGGGGGGAGACCATCCCGGAGGCCCATTTGCGGCCAAGAGATGGTATTTTGGGGCGGGCTTGCGATTTGCGAGGAGTGGTGCGAGAAGGATGCGAGATCACGAGATATCGGCTTTGGGCTTCGCGCGTGTTGTAATCTGATTCTGACGAGGTATGAAGGGGTTACCAACGGGAGGTTTCGGTGTGCCTGTGCTTCTTGATGTGGCCTAGAATGGCAGACGCTCCTGTCATGGCCGCAGGACCTCGAGCGTGAAGCGTTTCGCTGTTGACAAAGGTGAGGAAACCCTCTTGGTTGCATTGTGCAATGCGTCTGCCCCGTCTCAGTCCCGATCGAGCCATGAGTAGGGCATCGTCCCATCCCAGTGACGGCCGTGACTGTCCGTGTGCGGAGCGTATCGGTCGTAACAGACTGTAATAGACACTACACCAGTCTCTACACCAGTGCGTACCGTACTCTACGGCAGAGACAGGAATTGGAGTGCCACAGACCGTTAGAGGTCTCATATGTGAACTCTTGAGCTGGATTGGTGGATATGGTAGTGTTGCCGCTGTAGGTATTACCCGCGTACTGCGTATCTGCACCTCGCGTAAATGACATCCGTACAGAAATTATCGCCAGGCCTGGGTCTCAACAGTAGAGAGAGATCAGCAAGCGGGAAACGGAGGAGTGAACTTGACCGACCCCGACCTCCTGAGGCTCCTGAGGCGTCGGGCAGCGGCGTCCTCGTCGGTGGGCGGACAGCGGTCGCGCGGGAAACAAGTGGAATCCGGGATTAAGCGATGTGGGAAATTTGAGATTTCTTCCGTAAGCAATTTACCAGAGGGAGGGAAAAGCAAAGGAGAAATTCATGACGACAGTGGGGTTGACCATCCAGGAACGTCGTTCGCCAAGTGGGGGCGTAGAAAGGAAGACTCAGAAAATTGGAAGAGGGAAAAAAAAAAAAGAAGTCAACAGCTCAAAGAAGAAGTGGGTACTAAGGTAAGGTACCTTCCCAAGGCTCGCCCGAGGCAGGACGGAGGTACCGGTACTTTCAAGAGGTACTTCGTCTCTTCGACACCGAGCGATCCGAGTACTCCTGCCCCAGTGCTGGGGAAAGCCATGGCTGCCATGCTCACCCAACCACACATTGCAATCTTTCATCTCCAGCTTCCTCTCACTCGGCCGACTTTTTCAGAGGCCGGAAATTCTCGAGCTTGCCCAGATTTGCTCCATTCGCTTTCCGCTCGGTTTCGCTGGGTCCTTTTCCTCCCCTGGTCGTTCAACCTCGCGGCGGACGAGGCCACGCAGGCATCGTTTGGCTGCGCTTGCTTGAGCCTTGAGTCCCTGGGCGCGCTAAGAATAAGAGAGAGCGAGTCGTCGTCACCTCAAACCCCAATCATTTCGCATTTGGCCTGGTCGGCTCCCTCTGAGCTCTGGTTCAGTGCCTCTGCCTGACTGCATCGCTATCATCCCTGCCTGCGTGCGCGATTGCGTATGTGCTACGCAGTAGTGCCAGGCGATACTGGCGGTAAAGAGAGGCAAAGGTGAAGTCGCTTGTTTGATGCGGCGCCTCGCGTGGGTGTTCCGTTGACATCTTGCATCATCATGATCTGGCCTGTTCTCTGTTTTCCCTACAACCCCAGTCTCCCGACTTGCAAAACTTGAGATGACATTCATTTGGCGCTTATATGAGGCACATCAAGGGTGATGCCATTATCATGAAGCCTCGATGATGCTGGCATCCTAGCGTCTAAGGGGTCGAGGTCCCTTTTTTCGTTTCCCCTCCCCTCCCCTTTCGCGGCGATGGACTTTTGGCGGAAGTTGGAACCACAAAGCTAAGGAATGCAGGATACCCTTCATTCGCGTTCCGTCTCTGGGCCTCGGTGCCGGCGACGGCGTCCGATGGATTAGATAAGCGCGTCCGGCAGTGGGATTTCGAAAAAAGGGACCTCCAGGGAAGGGGTCGAATAGTGGTGTTGGTTAAGTTCGAAGCCATTTCAAGCCACCGACTGCAAGCCCCATTTTGACAGTGACGCTCTCTAACGCCTTTCGTCAGGCCACCCAATCTGATTCACATCGACGCCGGCATCGACGGGCCAGCGGCCAGCCCAATTGTACCGTCCGTTGCTTTCACCCAGAGTCGCATGCCCTCCTCCCCATGACTCCATGATGGCGCCGTCGTCTCGGCCCAATGACCCGCGCGGGCCACTGAGGTCTGAATTTCACGAGTGCGGCCGCGCGATTATTCCTTGGTGGTGCGCCGATTCGAGAATGGCCCTGAATGTCGGCGGTTGCAGCTACCGCACGCCGATGGGCCTCCGAAACCGAGATTTACGTCGTCGACATGCAATTCCCGAACCTTGAAGTACCGGCGTCGGCTCCGTACTTCGTGTGTGGGAAGTCCCAGCCTCGCTTTTTCTTGGTTGGCCTACACGGTACGGATAGTCTGCATCGCAAACCTCGCTGCGAGCTTGCGACAAAGGGCCTCGGCTCGGTACTTGCAGACGATGCAATGATGACAATAATCTCAAAATCGGGTGAGCAGCAGTTGTTTGTTTCGCCGGGATGATTTTTATTTTCAGGGGTGGACAGCGGCCAGACCAAGGAAGACCGAAGACGTGTATGTCAAAGTGCCATTCCGTTGCTTCTTCCTGCTGGATGTGCGACACGTTGTGCTGGGCTGCTGGAAAAAGCCCCGGTCCCCGGGGTGAGCGGTGGGAAGCACGGGTCAAACCGTCAAACAAGATTGTTGGGACGGGTTGGTTCGTAGTGACAAGTATGCTCCGTACCGGGATTCATCAGCCCTGTCGACCGGGTCATCATCAGCACGCGACACGTCTTGTCTTTCTGCGACTTTTGCTCGGGTGCAGGTAACGCCGCCAAGTGGGAGAGCGTAATTTAGGTACTGCAAAGTCTGTCGCGCGCTGACCTTAACGGGGGACGGGGGTGGACTTTGCGGACCTCAGGATGGACTCGAGATGAAGCCGTCCACGATTGAATAGACGAGCCCATTTCCTTGTCGTTGTCATATTGAGATAGTCAGCAATAAGGTCTTCGCGAGCAATGGAGATACTTCATCAGCACAGCAGAGCCTTCGTGAATAAGATTGCCGCTAGGCAAATAGAAGAAAACATGAACAGACCACGGCTTCTAGATCAGCTCACTAATTCCCGATCCACCACGGAGATGTTCCGTAGATGGATGCGTTGGAGCGACTTTTGCTGTGTTGCTGACCTCGGAATTGTGATCTGTATTGTGATCTGTAATCCACAAGAGAATGCGAAGGCGAGGACGGAGAGAAAAAGACAACAGGCAGACTAACGAAAAAAATCGAAGCAAAAAATTGGATCATCCCGGTGTCACCTAGAATTCTTCTCCTTACCGGCCGGTAATAGCGCATCATCACGTAAGGCAAGCCCGCCCA